GATCCTTTTATCTCTGTCTATGTCAGCTTCTATACGTTCCTGTTCTGTGGTTTCAATTCCATCAATGGCCTCTTGCATCTTATTCATTCTGCTTATAAATCCTTCCAGAGTTTGTTTCATTTCTGTGATCTCCTTTCTGGTATCTGAGGTCTCCCTCTGGACTTCATCCCATTTCTCTTGCGTATTTCTCTGCATCTCTGTCAGCATGTTTATGATTTTTATTTTGAATTCTTTGTCAGGAAGACTGGTTAGGTCTGTCTCTTCTGGTGTCTCTGTGATCTTGGTTTGTCTGTAGTTTTGTCTTTTCATTGTGATAGGAATAGTTTGCAGAGCTGGGATGAGTGACGGCTGGAAGAACTTCCCTTCTTGTTGCTTTGTGGCCTTCTTCTCCCCCTTTGCGGGGCCCAGGGTTCTCGCAGGTGTGGATGTGGTCTGGATGTTGTCCTGGGTCCTCTGGTCTCTATTTTAGGAAGAGTTGTCTTTGTTATATTTTCATAGATATACGTGGTTTTGGGAGGAGTTTCCACTGCTCTACTCATGCCGCCACCTGGCTCCACCCCAATTATTTCTTCAAATACACTTTCTCTCCCTTTTTTTCTCTCTTCTTCTTCTGGTACCCCTATAATGTGAATATTGTTCCGTTTGAATTTGTCACACAGTTCTCTTAATATTGATTCATTCCTGGAGATCCTTTTATGTCTCTCTGTGTCAGTTTGTATGCATTCCTGTTCTCTGGGTTCTATTCCATCAATGGCCTCTTGCATCTTATCCATTCTGCTTATAAATCCTTCCAGATATTGTTTCTTTTCTGTAATCTGCTTCTGGACATCATCCCTTAGCTTTTGCATATTTCTCTGCAGCTCCATGAGAAATGGAGCTCCATAAGAAATGTAGCTCCAAAAAAAATGGTTATGACCTTTGTTTTGAACTCTTTTTCAGGGAGATTGGTTAGGTCTGTCTTCCCAGATTACTTCTCAGAGGAGACTGTCTGAGTTAATCTGTTCTGTATCAAATTCTTCTGCCTTTTCTTGGTGATAGAGGGATTTGTGAGGAGCTGGGAGGATGTCCTTTCTTACTAGTTGTGGCCCTCCTCTCCTGGGAGAAGAGCAACCCCTAGCAGCTTGTGCTGGGCAGGTGTGTGCAGTCAGGGTTTCTAATTCTGTCCCTGCCACTGTGAAAGAAGCTCTGCACTGCTGCCTTAGGCTGCTTCTCCCATATGGTGGAGTGGCATCAGAGGAGAAATGGGCAGGTGGCTGTTTATCTCTGTGAGGGGCCTCTGAGCTGCACTGCTGCCTAGGGGGTTGGGGTGCCCAGAGTTCCCTGGGATTCCCAGCTGCTGAGTTGATTGTCCTGGAATGCTTCTGTCCAGCTGTGGGGTCCCTGTCACTTTAAGAGTTTCAAAAAGCACTCGCTTTTCTTGTTTCCTGGTATGCCAGCTGTGGGGACCCATTCACAGGTCTTACTGTCATTTCTCCCTTGTATCCAGCACCCTAAGCACTGTGTGTCTGTGTTTCTAGTGCGTATGGCTAGGGCTGGGTGTTTAGCAGTCCTTGGCTCCGTCTCCCTCCCCGCTCCATCTCCTGTCCTCCTGCCAGGAACTGAGGTGAGGGATATTTGGGTCCCACTGGGCCACAGCTTTTATCTTACCCCCTTCGTGGGGTGCTGGGTTCTCACTGGTGTGGATGTAGCCTGGCTGTTGTCCTGTATCTTGTGGTCTTTCTTTTAGGGATAGATGTATTTCTTGAATTTTCACAAGTAAATATGGTTTTGGGAGGAGATTTCTGCTGCTCTACTGATGCCGCCATCTTGGCTCCACCTTCCCGGGTGCATAGATATTTATAATAGTTATATCCTCTTGTTGGACTTACCCATTTATCATTATGCAATGCCCTTCTTTGTCTCTTGTGACTTTCTTTGTTTTGAAGACTATTTTGTTTGATACAAGTACTGCATCTCCTGCTTTTTTCTCCCTATTAGTTGCATGAAATATCTTTTTACATCCCTTTACTTTCAGTCTGTGTATGTCTTTGGGTTTGAAGTGAGTCTCTTGTAGGCAGCATATAGGTGGGTCTTGTGTTTTTATCCATTCACATCCATTGACTCTAAGTCTTTTGATTGGTGCATTCAGACCATTTACATTTAGGGTGATTATCAATATTTATGTACTTATTTTCATTGTAGGCTTTAGATTCGTGGTTACCAGAGGTTCAAAGGGAATTCCCTTATTATCTAACAGTCTAATTTAACTTACTATGCTATTAAGAACACAACCTAAATGTTCCTTTTTTTCCCCCTACTTTTTCTTACTCCTGCATTCTTTATATAATAGATATCATATTCTGTACTCTTCGTCTGTTCCTTGATTGAGTTTCAGGGTAGTTGAGTTGATGTTGCATCTGCTTAGTAATTAATTGTTTTACTTCGCTGTGGTTTTATTTCCCCTGTTGACAGCTATTTAGCCTTAAGAATACTTCCTTCTATAGCAGTCCGTCCAAAATGCACTGTAGAGGTTGTTTGTGGGGCATAAATTCTCTCAGCTTTTGCTTATCTGAAAATTGTTTACTCCCTCCTTCAAATTTCATTGATAACTTTGCCAGGTAGAGTATTCTTGGTTTGACACCCTTCTGTTTCATTGCATTAAATATATCATGCCACTCCCTTCTGGTCTGTTTGGTTTCTGTTGAGGAATCTGATGATAACCTGATGGGTTTTCCTTTGTATGTGATCTTTTTTCTCTCTCTATCTGCTTTTAAAAGTGTGTCCTTATCCTTGATCTTTGCCATTTAATTATTATATGTCTTGGTGTTGTCTTCCTTGGGTCACTTGTGTTGGGAGATCTGTGCATCTCCATGGCCTGAAAGACTATGTACTTCCCCAGATGGGCGAAGTTTTCACCAATTAACCTCCTCAAAGATAGTTTCCATAAACCCTTTTGCTCTCTCTTCTCCTGGTATGCCTATAATGTGAATATTGTTCCGTTTGGATTGGCCACACAGTTCTCTCAATATTCCTTCATTCTTTGAGATCCTTTTTTTCTCTCTGTGCCTTAGCTTCTTTGTATTCTTATTCTCTATTTTCTGATCCATTTACCATCTCTTGTACTACATCTAATCTGACTTTAAATCCCTTCATTGTATATTTCATTTCAGATACTGAATTTTTCAATGATTGAATCTCCATCCTAAATTTGTCCCTGAGTTCTTGAATATTTTTCTGTACCTCCAGGAGCATGTTTATTATTTGCATTTTGAACTGTCTGTCAGGAAGATTGGTGAGTTCATTTTCATTTGGTTCTTTTTCTGGTGTTTGTGAGATTTTTTCTTGAACTAGGTTCCTTTGACATTTCATATTTGTATGTGTCACCCTCTCACCCTCTAGTGCCCAGAAGCTCTAGCCTCTGGAGTTGCTTAGCCCCTGGAGTGATGATCCCAGTTGCCCTGGGAACTGATGGCAAAAAGCCCCTGGAGTTTGCAGGCTAGTGGCACTGTTGCCTGGGGGGAGAAAAGGCTTGTTTCCTGCTTTCTGGCTGCAGTGCCTGTTTCCACTGTCACAACCATTCAGCCAGCACACAGGTGTAAGCCTCTGTGCTTTTCACCTTTAGCTGCCTTAGGCAGGGCCTCCCTCTGGTTGGCCTGGCGTCAGGGCAGGGACTGTCGGTTTGCAGGCTGGTTCCAGCAAGTCAGGAGGAAGGCTCGGCAGGATGCGTATAACAGTGGGAGGCCTTGGAGCTGAGTTGTCAGCCTGGTGGATGTAGTGCCTGAAGCTCCTGAAAGTTCCCAACCTGCTGGGCAGAGTACACCCCGAAAACCTTGTCCACCTATCACTTCTCCGCAGCAAGCTCCATGCAAACCCTACCCATTTAGCAGCCCTCTTGCTGCTTGGAAGCGTCTCAGACCCCCTGCCTTTCCTTTGTCACAGAGCAGCTGGGTGTGGATCCCTGTCCTCCACAAACGGCTGGAATCTCAGTCTCTCCAAGTATTCTGCCTGTCTTAGGTTTCTAAGCCCAGAGCACCATGCAGTGTAGGTTTGTGCCCTCATAGCAGGTCTCCAGGGCTGGGTGTTCAGCAGGCCTAGGCTTCTACCCCCTCCTCACTCCATTTCTCTTCCTCCCTCTGGTGAGCTGGGGTGGGGGAAGGGCTTGGGTCCCACCGGATCAAGGCTTTGGTACATTATCCTGTTTTGTGAGGTCTGCTCTGTTCTTCAGGTGTATGCAGTCTGGTACAGCCTTTTTTCCTCTTGCTCTTTTAGGATTAGTTATATTAACTATGTTTTTGTAAAATACATGGTTTTGGGAGTTATCTGTCTCACCTCTTACACCGCCATCTTGAATCTTGGTTCCAGAATGGTTGTTTTCTATAGTTTTCTGTGGCTTCATCAGCCTGGTAGAGGCTTTCTTGTCAATATTGTAAGTCAGGGTTAGGAATATTTACTTTTTAAAAGCATACACCATATCCTACCTAATATCATCAATATATTACATAGAGTAGTTGGATTAAAATAGATTAATGGAATAGTTTTATTGTAATAAGTAGAAATAAGAAATAACAAGCAGAGATTTTAGGGCTAGGGAAGACCCTATCCTTAGAAACTGGATTGGATACATTCAGGTTTGTTATATTACCTGAGGAGACCTTGGGTAATCAAGACTTGATTTGAACCTTTAAGACTACCACTTGCAAACCCTTTTTGACTGAACCTTGATTTCCTGTAAAGTCAACAGCATTTGTTTCCCTCATATTATCATTTTAACTGAGAGTACTTATTCATAAATAATCACTTTAGTTGCTTGCTTTGCACAGTTATTACTGAATCCATAACTGAAACTAAATCCTTTACTTTCAGATAATTCTACAGTATATTTTCATTTCATAATACAAAATATACACTTAGTGTATTTGTGTTTTGGGTGCATATTTAACAAAATCTACTTGCTGTAGGTCCAGGTCAAGACCTCGTCCACGCTCCCATAGTCGAAGCAGTGAAAGGTCCAGTCACAGAAGAACCCGTAGTCGTTCTCGGGATAGGGAACGACGTAAAGGCAGAGATAAGGAGAAAAGAGACAAGGAAAAGGATAAAGGCAAGGACAAGGAATCACACAACTTCAAACGTGGGTAAGTTGAAGTAGATCTTAAATAGTAGTATCTCTGATTCCATGGCAATAATCAAATTAAATTTCCACTCTCTGAAGTTTTTCTTAGACGGAAAAAGAGAAGTATACAATAAAGAAGAAGAAAGAAAAGATCAAAATAGTTATATCAGTTTTTTACCGTTTTCCCTTTCTATTCCTGTTTTTATTAATGCTTATATAACAAATCTTAGAAACAGAAAATAACACTGTCAAAGCTTAGTGTGTCAGTAAAGGAGAATTTACATAATTCTTTAGGAAAGTTGTGCATTCAGTTTCCTTTATCAGGAATTAGAACTTAAAATTTGAAGACTTGATAATGATTAAAGATGTCTGTTAAATTATTGTAAGACTGTTAGGGGAAAAGGATAAAAATGAAACAAAGGGAGAGAACCTTGTGATTTCTTATTAGTTGAGCCTCCTTCAATATAGAATGGGACTTGATCAATATGAAGTTATATATGTGTGTGCTAGAGTGAGTATATGTGTGTTTGAGATCCAGAATTTATTTTTCTGTAATTATTAAAATAATTTTTCTAGCTCTATCCATTTGGAGGTAGAAGTTTGCTTACAGCTGTTTATTAAATTAGAAGATATTAAAATGAAACAATCTTCATTAGTAGCTTAAATTATAGTTTATTGTTTGTTTTATTCAAAATTAAGATTGGGGAATAGAACATCTTGGAATTTTTCCTTTTGTCAGTGTTTCAATACCCTATGTGTGTTTACTTTAAAGCTTCATTACCAAAGTGTTTGTCTTTAATGTATAAGTTTTTAGTGTTAAATTGAAGAGTTTATTAGGATCTTGGATATGGTTCCTTGAGATCTTGATTCTATAAAGAATTAAATTTCTTAAAGGATATGGAACTTTTCTCTCATCCTTTTCACCATTGTCTGTGTGTTTATTTTTTGTTTCCATATTTACAGTCATATTATTTAAACTTGCCTAGATTGTTGGCTTTTAAGTATTCTTTGAAGGATAAATATGTGGTAGATTTTGGAAGAGGATAACATTATTATGTGGCTCTCTTCTTCCTAATTACCGCACATCGAGTAGTTATGGCCCTGCCAATTCTGAGTTCTCTCCTTTTCTAGTTTTAAGAATTGCTGGATGTTATAGGAGAGAAGAATGTTATAGGACAGGGTTGAATACCTCGCTGTAAGGATAGTGAGGCTGAATTAGCCACAGTGGGTAGAATGAAATGAGGATCAGAGAGAGTTTGGGGAAAATCTCTTGCTAAAGGGAGAAAGTCAGGAGGATGATAAATTTGCAGAGAGAATATAGAGTAGGTTTCTTAGATTAGAAAATATGGATTAAGAGGGTGAATACATTATGTCAGTTAAGGAACTACCTTTTCCTTGTTCTTTTTTGTTATTCTTTCGATTTACACTTTCGATATTATTTGGCTATGAGAAATGTGACTATGATTTTTACTAGTCATTACATTTTTTTCTTTCCATCTCACCAAACTTTGCTTTTTTTAGAATAATAGTTACATAACTGTATAAAATTGACAATTACATAAATCATTACTTGGGAAATTTTAAAGGCAAGAAAAATGAGTTCATTAATAAAAAAGAGAGGCTGGTGGTTTCAGGAAAGAGTCTCATATGGTGACATTAATCTTGAAGGTCTGGCCACCTTTACAGGTTAGACTCTACTATCACTGAGTTGATTGTGTTCAAGGGATTGATTTCTGGGTGAATCACAAGATAACATAATTCACAAGATAATATAATTGTCATTATTTCTTAAATTTCAGCAAAAGCAATGAAGAAGGCCAAAACAAGAGTTGTCAGCTAAAGGGTCCTGGGAACTGATGGCAAAAAGCCATGAGTAGCCAGATGCAGTCATCCCCATGGTTTTAGTGGATCAAAGTACAGAGTGTTACTGTGTTAAGGTGTCCTCTTTCCTGGTTAATATTGAGGACAAACAAGTTCTTACCTTTCAGCATGGTCTAAAATCAGGATTTTTTGGGGCCAGTATATACATTTACAATGGTAGTGTTTATATATGCACAGATGCACCCTACTTTGCTTCAGAAATAATTTCTTTCTTTTTTAATGCTTGCATGCTTATTTCCTAAACCTGATTTTTAAGCCATTCAGGGCAGAGAATGTGTCTTATGCTCTTTTGTATCACTCAGAGTACCTAATGTACATGTTAGTTGTTAATAAATATTTGTTGGTTATTGATCAGATATGCTCATTCATTCATTTGTTCACTTGTTCAGCCAATGATATTTAAATATCTTCTATTTGTCAAGTATTATGTTACATAAGATATATAAGTAATTACAGTGAAATCACATGAGTGTTTCAATAGGAAGCTATGGAAACATTGTGAGTTAGGATACTTTTGGCCATTAGTAACAATACCTAAGTAGTAGCTTAAACCAGGGGCAGTAAAACTTTCTTGTAAAGGGCTATATAATAAGTAATTTAGACTTCCTGGGCTATATGTCTGTTGTAACTACTGAACTCTGTCCTTTTAGCATGAAAGCAGGCATGGGTAATGTTAAATGAATGGCATGGCTGTATTCCAATAAAATTTATTTACAAAAATGGGCAGCTGGCTAGATTTGGCACAAAGGTTGTAGGTATATATATTTCAACATCTAGCTGAACCATGACTACATTTATTACTAATATAACAAGCAGTTTGGAGGTAAGCAGACTTGGGCTCTATTTGTCCTTTCAACATACCAGTCTCAGCATGTTGACTTTCATCTTAGTCTTGACACATTCTAGTTGCAGGATATTTCCATGAAGGTGAAGCTGGTTAATCTAGACTAGTCAACATGTCAGCAAGGGCTCTCAGAAGAAAAGATGTTTATATATTGAAGGAAAGAAGAGATGGGAAAGAATGATGCATGCAGAATGAACTTCATGTTGAAGACTTGGAGGCAAGCAAATGGGATATGGCTTATTTGAGGAACTAAAGTCTAATCCTACTTGGTTTAGAGTAGAAGAGGAATAATAATGAAGGCTGATTATTGGAGTTATATTGTAAGTTATGTTAATGAGTTTGGAGTTACTACTAAAGGTAGTGAGAAGCCAGTGAATTTTTGAGTAATGATATGATCAAATCTGTATGATGTATGAACAAAATGCTTTACTTACAGTGGACATAATAATAATAAGCAACTAACTTTTAAAATGTATTTTCTAAGTATCAGGAATTTTATGAAGCAGTCGACATACATTGTCTCACTTAGTTTTCATAATAATCTCTTAAAATAGGTGTTTTTTTAATCTGATTTATACAGATGAAAGCTTATAATCATAGAACTAGTAAATGGCAGAGTTAGGCTTCTAATTCAAGTTCACTGACCACAGCACCTTGACTTTTAACAGTATATTATCCTCACTTCTGTAGTAGTCTGTAATTATTGATGATGAGATATAGTGTTTGAGATCATGTGATATGGTATTTCCTAAACTAGAAAATAGCTAAAGAGAACTGAAAGAATTTTCTGTGCCTTACTTTTCTCTGCTTAGGCCAGAAATCTTTCATTAGTCAGAGACTTGAGTCCTTATTTTCTCCCTTTCTCTTCATTCCTTCCTTCCTCATGCCAGCATTTCATGTTTATTTAGAATTATATTTGATTATATTTAATAAAGTCACAAAATATTTCTAGGCATTAACCAAATTTATTTCTACAATGGTTTCATCAACTGTCTCTTTACAAATGGTTTAAAAAAAACATTTGTGGATGGCGTGAAAGGAAAAAAAGGTTCACAAGCAGTCTAACTAGGACTTAGGTATTAGTTCATTATGATTGTGCAACCCAATGACAAGTATTTTAGCTTATACTAAATAACCTAGATGTTTTCTCACAAAAGAGAAAGTAACAACCCATGTACTTCCACTTCTTCATGCATAACAATCTTTGCTTTTATCAAGCCACCTTGAAAATATCCATATTATGTATATAGATAGAACATAAAACACAAAGTACAAAGCAAGGAGAATAAGTACAATAATGGTAAAGGACTTCTATAATTGGTAAAAACAGGAGAGAAAAGAATGCTCAGGTAGGAATTAATGAGCCTAATAATGAGGAAGAACTTTTTAAATCAGACTTTTTGAGAAAAAAGATACGAAATTCGGTGATTCTGGAAAACCTTTTTAAAATAGCAGCTAATTAAGTACAGTTCTTGAAATTCCTATAATTTGAATGATTATAATTAGAATTTGTCTTTTAATGTCATAAATTGATCTATTCATTTTATTGATCTGCTGAACAAGAGAGATGAAATATAAACTGGGTGTTAGAAGTTTATAGGGACTAAAAGGTACCTTTCCATACAGCACAGATTATTATAAGAAAGACACTGACTAAGCTTTGTCTTAGATTTTAATCACTTTTAGTGGTTTACTGACTTCCATTTTTAGTGTTTTATGCATGCAGAATGAACTTCATGTTGAAGACTTGGAGGCAAGCAAATGGGATATGGCTTATTTGAGGAACTAAAGTCTAATCCTACTTGGTTTAGAGTAGAAGAGGAATAATAATGAAGGCTGATTATTGGAGTTTTAGTTTAGAAACTAAAACTACATTTTAGTTTCTAAGAATATTTTATCTTTTAGACATTTATACAAATTTTTCATGTTTTTGTTTTTCTCCCAAATTTTTAAAACTTGAGTATTTGTCATATCATTAGATAATTCTGTTTATTTTATGGAGACATGCCTTTAATTCATTTTATAAATTTTATTAATGATAGAGTTATTAAGTAGAAATTGGACACAGATATTTTGTTAAATAAACTTTTGTTCAGAGTCAAAAATCAGAAATATGAAACTTGACATGGCATCTCATAATTACAACTTGGTCTGATGTTTGTACACTCCATCTGAGTCTTCTGTGGATTATTACTGGGCCTTCTTTAGCAACACTTTGATCAAGCTCCATCATAAGAATAGTTAACTACTATAAAATATCTTTTACAGACTTCTTTGAAAAATGATTTGTGAGTAAA